TTGTCCTTCTCCTCCTCCTCCTCCTCCTCCTCCTCCCCACTTCCTCCTCCTCCCCCTCCTCCTCCTCCTTCTCCTCCTCCTCCTCACCCTTCCCCTCGTCGTGCGGGTCGGCGCTGCAGCGCGCGTGCGCATCTCAGTGTGCAGAGCAGTCTGGTCCATTTAATCAGTCCCCTTGGTTCTCGGACGGCCAATTCTGAGGGAACCTTCGGGAGGATTCGGGAGGATTCGTAGATTCCAGCGGTACTCCTTTTTCCATAAAGGTTCCTCTTCAAATCCTATACAAAACAATTCTTTCTGTGGATTCCACGGGCGCTCCATTTTGTCATATGGATTCCTTTTAAAATTCTATGTGCAACAATGATCTTCTGTTGCACACGGACGCTGTGGTACAAACAGGCGCCGTGGTCTACACAGGCGATGTGGTGCATGGTGCACGCGGGCACTGTGGTGTACATTGGTGCTGTGTTGCACACTGCTGTTGTGGTGTACGCAGGCGCTGTGGTGGACACAAGCGCTGTGGTGCACGCAGGCACTGTAGCACACACTGGCGCTGTCTTGCACGCGGCTGCTGTGGTGTACATTGGCGGTATGGTGTGCACAGGCGCTGTGGTGCACGCAGGCACTGTTGTGTACACAGGCGCTGTGGTGCAGATCGACCCCTGCCTTCTGCTGCTGCCCGTCCTCGGTCATTCTTAGGCATTCCCAGACGCTGCCGGCGCGAAACGCGACGTCATCGGCCCCCTCCCCCCCCCCCCCGTTGACCCAGAGCAGGAAGAGCAGGCTCCTGCCGCTGTGCTCCTGCCGCCCGTGGTGGCCCGGAGAGCGCACGGCTCTGGACCCTCCCTCGTGGCGGCCTCGCCCACCGCCACGCCGTATCTTACGCTGCATCTTCGGGGGGCCTCGCCTGTGCCCCAGATTGGTGTCGTTTCTTGTGCCCGACGCGGGCTCGAAGCGGCGGACTCCACGCGGACTTGGCGTGGATTCGACGAGGATTCGGCACCGATCCGACGAGTCCGGCATGGATTCGACACGGACTCGACGCGGGCAGGGCCGTGGCATGACAGACAAGGTCCCCCGAAGATGCAGCACACACTCCTTTGTGGCGGCTTCGCCCACCGCCACGCCGTATCTCTTGCAGCGGCTCTTGCCAGAACTCCGACGCCGTGACTGCTCCTTCGACATCGACCCCCCCCCGGAGATCTGGACGCCTTCCCCAGGACCTTTTTTTGTTCTTGTTCTTGGCTCGGCGATTACAAAGGGTGCGGTTACGCCGGGGTGTGGTTTGCGATCGGCGCCGTGGGGGCCTGGGGGGCCCGGCGCTGTCCTCGTCGGGCCTCTGCGGGGCGCGGCGGAGAGCTCCATCGAGGCCCCCGCTTGCCCCCCAGGGTGCCCCCACCCACCAAACCACCCCAACCCAACCCGAAGGCTCAGACTTACCCTCGATTTCCAGTGGGGGGGGGGGGCGCGGGGAACATCGAGGAAACACATGTGGAACCCTTACCCCCCCCAACCCGAAATTCGGGTCTTCGGGTTGGGTTGGGGTGGTCTGGCAGGTAGTCACCAATCGCCTTCTCCTCCTCTTCCGGGGGAGGAGGAGGAGGAGGAGGAGGAGGAGGTCGAGGAGGAGGAGGAGGAGGAGGAGGAGGAGCAGGAGGGGGGGTGCTTCTCAGGAGGCGGAGTCCGCACCCTTTGGAAACCGCAGACCGCACCCTCTGCAAACCGCACCCTCTGGAGCCGCCGATTGTGTTCTGTCTGCCCTCCGGCCCCGCTCTTCCACGGCCCTGGGGCCCGGCGAGGTGCTCGCCTCGGGCGCAGAGGAGGAGGAGGAGGAGGAGGAGGAGGAGGAGGAGGAGGATGAAGGAGGAGGAGGAGGAGGAGGAGGAGGAGGAGGAGGAGGAGGGAGGAGGAGGATGGAGGAAGAGCCCGCCGAGGCGCCCCGCCGAGGCCGACGATGGCCGCCCTCCGGCGTGCCGCCGCCCCCCTCCTCGACGCCTGCTGGCCTGCGGGGCGGCCGCTCTCGGGGCGATCCGAGCACCACCCCCTCCCCCGGCAAGCTTTACGCCCGGCCCGTCCTACAGGAGGAATAGCCACAGGAGGAGGATTTCAGCTCTACAGGAGGAATAGTCCAATATAGTTTAAAACATATAGTCTTGGGACTATTTTTTGAGTCCTTTTTGACCATTGTGGAGTATATGTATATGTATGTATACATATATATATATATATATATGTATGTATAGATGTATATATATATATTATTGTTTTGTTGGGTTGAAAATCCCCTGTAGGGGGACACGCCCGACTTACGGCCAGCTCTCCCTCGCGGAGCGGCTGCTGGAAGGCATCCCCGAAGCTGGAAGACCCCGCGGAGAACCGGCCAGCACGCCCGACAGAACCTCCAGCCTCGAGCCCCAGAGCTCTCTCGAGGAGCAGCTGCTGCAGTGCTTTCTCGAGGAGAGCATCCCTAGAGATCGGAGGTCTATAGACCTCCTACCCTGACACGTCGACTAGCGAATTGGCCGTTTTCGGTTCGCGAGAGGGCGTCGCGGCCGTCATTTTTGCGGGTCCAGGTCCGTCGGTTCCGGTCCCAGGCCGTTCTCACAAAAGGCAAGTTTATGAAAGGCAGGCTTGTCCACCGCCGAGCAAAGCTCCCTCGAGGAGCAGCTGCTGGAGAGCCTTCTCGAGCAGAGCACCCCTAGATTTAAGTCGGGCCTGTCCCCCTACAGGGGGATTTTCGACAAAAAAATAAGAATACCCCCAAAATAGTAAAAAATAGTACGACAAATAATCAGGGGACTATTTTTTGAGTACTTTTTGAACTTTTTGGGGTATTTTTGTTTTTTGTTTTTTTAATTTTCGTCGAACATCCCCCTGTAGGGGGACACGCCCGACATAATCCCAGGCCTCCTCGCGCTGCGAAAAAAGCGCGACGGGAGGTTCTTCGCTGTTCTCGGCCTCCAGGGGCCTTCGCTCGGGGCTCGGGACTGTCATCAAAAACGACCCAGGATGAAAAGCCGGTCCCCGGGAAGGGGTTCAGACTTCTGCGGGTCGACTCAGTGAACAAAATCACGAAGTCGGGGGTCTGGGTCCCCAGAGCCCCGCCGTCCTGATTCTGTCATCCCATCGACCCCTGGAGGTCTGGACCCTTTCCGCGGGACCGGTTTCTCATCCCGAGTCGTTTCTTGACGCTTCCGAGGCCTGGTCAAACGGCCCCCCGGAGGCCGAAAACAGCGGAAAGCCTAGCGTCGTGATCTCTTCACGACGCAAGTGGCTTTGGGCCGTTCTCCCAGCACGCCCTCGCGGCCACCCGCGGATCGGCGGCGAGCGATTGGGGGGGGAAGTGCGGAGGAGAAGGCCTTCTCAGAAGGCGGCGGGGCTTCTCAGAAGCCCTCGCGGCTTCGGAGAGATGTTTTTTTTTTTTTTTGTTTTGTTTTGTTTGTTTGTTTTTTGTGTCTTCGAGGAGAAAGCTTAGAGAGCATCTCAGGAGACTGCGGGACTTCTGAGCCTCCTGAGAACCCAGATCCCCGGCGTCGTGATTTTTTCACCGCGTCGACCCGCAGAGGTCTGAACCCCTTCCCGGGGACCGGCTTTTCATCCTGAGTCGTTTTTGATGACAGTCCCGAGGCCCGGCGAAGGCCCCTGGAGGCCGAGAACAGCGAAACACCTCACGCCGTGCTTTTGTCACAGCGCGAGGCGGTCCGAGAAGGCCTTCTCCTTCTCACTTGCCCCCCTCGCTCGCCTCCGAGCGCTCCCCAGCACGCCCCCGCCGCCCCTCACGAACCAACAAGACACACCCGTACCCACTGGGGGGTCGGAGAGGGCTAGGGGTGCGTGTCGTCGGATGGGGTCCCCCCTCGAACGGCAGCGTTCCCCAGGGTCCGGCACTCCGCACCCATACCCATAAGCCATTCCTCCTCCCAACGACCCCCCTCTGGTCGGGGAAACGTAAGCCTCGAGTAAGCCGGAACTCGGGTTTGCCGACTTGTTTTGACGAGCGCGTCCTGGATTTTGACGGTCCAGTTTTCGTGGCATGTTTTTCAGCGGGAGCTCGCGCCAAATCTCAGATGGAGCCTCGGCATCTTCATGGTGGTCCCGTCAGGCCAACCCGAGTCCCCCGTAACCGAGTCTTGCGTCTCCCCGATCTGGGCATGGGTGTGTTTACCAGCCTCGAACGTATCCCTATCCCTAAGATTGACACGCCAAAAGGCGATGACAATCTTAGTGATTCGCCCTCAAAAAATAAGGGAATCCCTAAGATTGGCACCGTGATGAGGAGGTGCCCAGCATAGGGATAGGGATATGTTCCAGGCTGGTAGTGTGTGTGTGTGTGTTGTTCGCTCGTCGTTCTTGGAACGGCGCGGGGAGCTCTCGGAGCGCGGGCGCGTGTGCGCGCGGCTGGGCGAGAGAGAGAGAGCCGCGCTGTGAGAGCCGCTCCTTCCGTGCCGCTGTCCGAGCGGTCAGTCTCGAGCCAGGCGTGCCCCCCCTCTACGGGTGGGATGCCCAAAAGTAGTGCAACAAAAATTAGCAGCATGCTTGAGAGCCGCTCCTTCCGTGCCAGCGCCTGGGCGGTCCGTCTCGAGCCGGGCGTGCCCCCCCTCTGCGGGTGGGATGCTCAAAAACAGTCCCACAAAAAGTTAGCATGTTTGGGAGCCGCTCCTTCCGTGCCAGCGTCTGGGCGGTCCGTCTCGAGCCGGGCGTGCCCCCCCTCTGCGGGTGGCATGCTCAGAAGCAGTCCAGCATAAAAGTCGGCACGCTTGCCCCGCCGAGGGACGAGGAGGCGTGTGGTGGGCCTTCGTCGGCCCCCCCCCCTCGGAGGGCACCAACTATACACCAACACCGATCCTGGCCCAGGATCACCCTGGGCCCAGGATCGGTGTATATGCCTTCTTGCGCAAGGCAGGAGGGCGTATACACCGATCCTGGGCCCAGGGTGATCCTGGCCAGGATCGGTGTTGGTGTATAGTTGGTGCCTTCCTACCCCCCCCCGCGCGGGGCGCGAGGTACTGGGGCGAGTACTTCCCCCTCGGCGGCCTCGGCGGCCTGCCGCTGGTCGGCAAGACGGGCTGGGGCGCCTTCTCGCACCACTGCCCGGAGGAGCGCGCGCGGGCGGGCGGGCGGGCGGGCGGGCGGGCGGGCGGGCGGGCGGGCGGGCGGGCGGGCGGGCGGGCGGGCGGGCGGGCGGGCGGGCGGGCGGGCGGGCGGGCGGGCGGGCGGGGCGGCGGCGGGCGGGCGGAGGAGGAGGAGGAGGAGGAGGAGGAGGAGGAGGAGGAGGAGGAGGAGGATGGAACATGGAGGAACATGGAGGGGAGGAGGAACATGGAGGAGGAGGAGGAGGAGGAGGAGGAGGAGGAGGAGGAGGAGGAGAGGAGGAGGAGGAGGAGGAGAGGAGGAGGAGGAGGAGGAGGGGAGGAGGAGGAGGAGGAGGAGGAGGAGGAGGAGGAGGAGGAGGAGGAGGAGGAGGAGGAGGAGGAGGAGGAGGAGGAGGAGGAGGAGGAGGAGGAGGAGGAGGAGGAGGAGGGGGGCGCCTTCTCGCACCACTGCCCGGAGGAGCGCGCGCGGGCCGGGCGGCGCTCCCGCCGGGGGGGCCGTGTGCAGCCCAGACCTCCCCGCGCCGTGAAAAAAAACACGAAATGAAGTCGGGCCTGTCCCTCTACAGGGCGATTTTTCAAACATAGTCAAAACATAGTCTGGGGGCTATTTTTCTTGAATATCTTTTGGCCGTTTGGGGGTGTTTTTGGACTATTTCTTCATTTTTCGCCCAAAATCGGCCTGTAGGGGGACAGGCCCGACTTGAAAAAAAAACGCGACGGGAGGTTTCTCGCTGTTCTCGGCCTCCAGGGGCCTTCGCCGGGGGCTCGGGGCTGTCCTCAAAAACGACCCGGGATGAAAACTGTCTCGTGCCCTGCTTGCCGTGCGGCAGGCGGGTGCTCCCCGCGGACAGTGGGCCCCCCCCTCGCCACGGTGCCCTCGGACTGCTCGACCAAGGAGTCGACCGCCTTCAGCTGGGACCCCCTGGAGCCTCCTGAGCCCCGATGGATCAAACAAAAAAACGACCCGGGATGAAAATGCCGGTCCCCGGGGAAGGGGTTCAGACTTCTGCGGGCCGACGCTGCGACAGAAACCACGACGTCGGGGCTCTGAGAAGGTGGGGCCGTTTTCGAGGACGTCTTCGCTCTAGGCCTCCCGGATGGGGTCCGAGTTGATGGGGCCTGAGGACCGCGGCGCGTCGCCGATGCATCGACGATGCGGCTTGATGTGGAGCCCGCGCTTCCCCACGCCGACGTCGCCAACGCATCGCATACGTCGACGATGCATTGCCCCTGCATCACCCATGCAGCGCCGATGCCTCGCCGATGCGTCGGCGGGGGGCCGTCCTGTTTTCGTTGACGTCATCGCGTAGGTCCCGTTTTCGTTGACGTCTTCGCGCATGTCTTTTGAGGGCTGGGGGCGACATCGGGGTGGTGTGGTGTACGCTCTTGTTTTTCCCCCCTTTGCCTGGGGGAGCAAGCAAGAATCTGTACACCCCAGGCGATGCTTAAGAAAACCTAAGTTTTCGGCCAGAGTCTCGATTATTCTTAAATTTTCAATGTGAATCCCCAGATTTTGACAGAAGTTCTGGGTTTTATTCAATTTCTGAGACTCTGAATTTCTTAACCCATGATTTCTTAAGCATTTCGCAGGGTGTACACCAGCATCTCGTAGGCACCAACATCCGCTTTCCTGTGCAGGTGTCCGCGCAGGGCCGGACAGAGCGCCGGTGTGTGGAGTCCGTTCCCCTACTTAGGGGGCCCAACGCTCGAGTCCGCGATGCTCCCTGGCGTCGCGTTGCTGCCGCCCCGCGTTGCCGGACCGCATATGCACAGATAGTCACCACCCACCAAACCACCCCAACCCAACCCGAAGCCCTCAATTTGCCTTCCATTTCCAGTGGGGGGGGTTCGGGGAACGTTGAAAAACACATGGTATCCGTACCCCCCCCAACCTGAAATTCGGGTCAAATTCGGGTCTTCGGGTTGGGTTGGGGTGGTCTGGTAGGTAGTCAGATAGGCACAATCTGTGAATGGAACCCGCATAATACCCTCATATATACTCCTTATCCTTACCTCTCCTGCGCCTGGCCGTTTGGGCTCAGGTATTGAGATAGATCGATCAGACCTTGATCGTGCGGGAGGGAAAGATATCCATCTATCCCTCCTTCTCTCTACCAACGGATCAGGGGTTCTGTACCCTTGTACTTCAACCCCATACACAGGTTATCAGCCCTTAAAACTCACCCTCACCGACTCGCCCGCGGTGACCTCGCATGCGAGCCTGATGGAGCCACTTCGGCGCATGCGCCGCAAGGGTTCCATCGGGGCTTCGCGTCCGAGCTCTCCCACGGCAAGACGGCTCGGTAACGAGTTGGAGAGCATTAGTGCGGACTGTGTTGGTGTTCCTGATACCCCCCCTAGCTCCGAAGGACCCGAGGCGCGACTAGCTGCTGAACTTCACCGCAGCGCCGCCCGCGGGGGGACAGGAGAAGGAGTAGGAACAGGAAGGAAGGAGTTTCACACGCCGACCTTCGATCCTCCTTCCCCTTTCCCCGTCGGGAGCAGTCCCAACCGCGTCAGGCGAAAGCCTTACTGGTCTCGATACTCCAGGGCGCTTTCGCGCTAACCGCCGATGGACCTCAGGCGCTGGGGCCCCCAGCCCTGCGACCGTCCCTGTGGCGGAGCACGTAGCCACCTTTGAGGAACTCAGTAGACCAGTGTCGGCACAGCCACAGACGCGGCGCCCCAAGGTATCATCGGATGAGACACCACACACACATGGTCCGAGTCGCAGCTCGTCCGCGCGCAACCGCCGTGGAGCCCCAGGCCCATGCGGCGAAAGTAGATCGAGCCCGCGCACTGCCTCTCATAGGCCATGCACTCCCCGCGACAGGCGGCACAGGGAAGCTGGCGCTCCCCACCTCCATCTCAGACGACCAGCTGGCGGAGACGTCCGCCGCAGGTGATATAGCTGAGCTCAGAGACCAGGTTGAAACCTTCGTGTCCAGGCAATACTCTGGACTACTACAGAGCGTTCAGACGAACGCCACCGATACTGCAGCCATACGACGCGATCTTGACGGCGCCTTAGGGATCATTGATTCCAGAATCGCCGAAGATCGACGCATCATCGGAGAGCTGCAGTACCAGGTTGATCGTGAGGTGTCACACTCAGGTGAACGAGCGGCGATGGTCGAGAACCTGCGCAACTACCTCGCGCAGATGGAGCAACAGCTTGTGCTCGTACGCGACACAGGCGTTTCAGCAGTCAGGATTTTACATGATGAGATCCACGACCAGCTCCGCAACCGACCAACCCCAGCCGAGGCTACAGACCTTGGCGACGTTCAGTCTCAGATCAATGATCTTCGATCTTATCTAGACCACACTACGGCGACGCTTCGTGCCGAAGCACACGCCAACTCGTCGAACCTGATCGACATGTTGCAGCGTGCTGAGAGAGTCATCACTCAAAGGCTTGATGCGACCAACGCTGTCGTGCAGCCACTCGCTAACCGGATCTCTGACATAGAGCAGCGTTTTCCTGGTATACAGGACGCCCTGGCAGAGTTGCGTGTCGGACGCGCCCAGACTGATCAGCTGGATTCTCCTCCCACGGTTTACGATTTCGCCCGCCTCGCTGACAGGTTTCAGGAGGTTCAGAAGGCGGCGGACCACGCGCAGTTGGAGCTCTCCCAGGTTATTCATGAAAGAGATACTGAGAAGGTACGTGTAGAGAGGTACCTCGCACGTCTGGAAAGCGAGATGGAGGCGCGAAGCGCCCGTCTCCGAGCATGCGAGCATCGACTTGATCGGTATTCACAACGTTCTCGGGGTACTGATGAGTATACGCGCCAGAAGGTGGGTCAAATACACGAAGACATGACGAGCTGGACGAATCAGCTGATCGACCACGCTAACGACACCAACCTCCACCTTCGACCTGCAGCCGACCCGCACAGGCCGACGGCAGCGTCCGCCGAAGCACCACAAGCTTCCGCAGGACAACAACGACTCGTACGTCACCAGGAGCAGCCTCCGCGGCAGCTTCTGCACAGACACGCCATGTGTCTCCTGTGCGCACAGAACCAACCACCGACGGTGCACCGATACCCTCGCAACCATTGTCTGCGGTGTCGGTCCATGCAACGACTCCTATCAAGGAGTCAGACACCGTCCGAGTGCCTGTCTTGCCTAAGACCACGCAGCTGCTGGAGTGGCGGCAAAACGTACGGAAGAACTTCGGGGCCGCCTCAGGGCGACCATCCAAAGCATGCGCCTTTCTATGCGTGGCTGAACAACCCGAATGCACATTCGAGGATTTACAAGACAGTGGAGACTTTGAGAGCATCGATTGCAAACTCGCTACCGCTCTGAGCGATATCTTATCCTCAGACTTACGTTACCAAATCAGGCTCATCGAGACTAAAGAGCACAAAGCAGGACGCATGCTCAAAGGACGCCAGATCTACTGGCACATCCTACAGTCCTACAAAGTGACAGAAGTTGACGACGACCTGCACGATTTCGAGCGACTTAAAGAACTGAGGATGAGAGATGACGATTTGCAACGTTTCATTACCGATTGGGATGCCTTACTCTTGGAATGCCGAGAGGTACCCGATCCAAAGATATTGGAATCGCTATGTCGTACACAGATTCGTAGACATGTCTGGATGCAACAAGACATGTACGAGTACCAGCGCATGAAGATGAGCAACCCAAATCGTACCTGCGGTTGGCTTCGACAGCGTGTCCTGGACATACTGGAGATTAAACAATTGGAGAAGAATCAAAACAAGTTACGGTACGAACATGAGACACGATCTCAGGTCAACGTGTGCGCTGCATGGAAGAAAGGCAATTGTCGCAACGGTGAACGGTGCAAGGCTTTACATACAGATTCCAGGGATTGGGAGAACAACAAATCTTCCAGAACATCAACGGCTGGTGGCAACCCCCGCCGTAGTATGTCCACTCCTGCGAACCACAAGAAGCCGGCATCGAAACCATTCTGCTTCGATTTCGCCAAGCGCAACACATGTACCAGAGGTGATAAGTGTAAC